TTTATTGCCAGTGTCCACGCAAGGTTATGCACTCAATGCAATGTTAGTCTCTTTCAGGAACACTGCTACGTTGCTTTGCTTTCATCAATTTAATTTCGGCAACAAAAAACAAAAATTTCGATTTAAAGCTTTCGTGACTGCAGGGATTCATCTTCTTGGTTCTTTCGGTAAAGTCACGTAGAAGGGAAGTAATAAAATAATAAAAATAAAACATAATAAAACAATTCTCACGACGTTTCGGCCACAACGCAAGCAGCCGTCCTCAGGTGAAAACCAGGTCCGTCGAGGCGACAGAGTCTGAATGAAACAGCACACGGGCTTAGAGCATATATATAAGCTGGGCGCATTGACAAAGGAATTTGCATATCAACAGGAATTTAGCATATTTATGGGAAATGCAGGAATGTAATTAGTACTGCATATGCATGTGCATTATGCCGGATTAACAGCATCAAAGGGAGCTGCAGCTACTGCTGCTGCAGCAGTTGCTGCTGCTGCTGCAGTTTCTGCAACTGCAGCAGCAAGCAACTGCAGCGTGCAGCAGCAGCAAGTGCAGCAGCAGCAGCAACTGCAGCAGCAGCAACTGCAGCAGCAGCAGAAACTGCAGCAGCAGCAGCAACTGCTGCAGCAGCAGTAGCTGCAGCTCCCTTTGATGCTGTTAATCCTGCATAATGCACATGCATATGCAGTACTAATTACATTCCTGCATTTCCCATAAATATGCTAAATTCCTGTTGATATGCAAATTCCTTTGTCAATGCGCCCAGCTTATATATATGCTCTAAGCCCGTGTGCTGTTTCATTCAGACTCTGTCGCCTCGACGGACCTGGTTTTCACCTGAGGACGGCTGCTTGCGTTGTGGCCGAAACGTCGTGAGAATTGTTTTATTATGTTTTATTTTTATTATTTTATTACTTCCCTTCTACGTGACTTTACCGAAAGAACCAAGAAAAAAAACAAAAACTCTCTCGTCATGTCCTTATTCACCCCTTCATTTCATTGTTTTGATGAGAAAAAAAAATGTGCCAGCAGTGATTGCGTGCTGACATACGCATAGTCATGCAGTGGTGCCCAGCTGCCATCTCCCCACACAGTTATTGTGTTCATAAAACTTGTTGTGCATTCATCTATATATTTTAAAGGGAAATTTGTGAATATGTGTGTCTGTTCGAAATGTTTAGCATACTTCCCGACATGCAACAAACTTGAAATTTGGCAAGTGGGTAGCTTCCAGACTGTACACAATGCAAAAAGTATAAAAACATAATTTTCTATTTTGGGGGGGGGGGGGGGGAGGCGCAATAATGGATATATATTGCACGGCAAGTGAGCGGTGACGTCACATCTGTGATGTCACCCGCACGCGGCAGCGTCACGCAGTTTGCCTGCTGACGTCACGCACCCCCCCACCCTCTGTGTAGGCCGTGTGTTAATCCAAGACAAGAATCCAAGTCCCAGGCGCAGCCGGGTAGTAAAGCTAGTTTTGTATACTTTGTAGTCGGCTTGCAACCTCTTTGTTAAAGCAATTCATTACCTGTAATTCATTCCCATTGGTTGTTGTAATGGCCATATCGTCGGCAATTTAGAGATGGCTAACACCTTGCCTGTAGCTATACATAAATGTAATCTTTTATACAACTTACGTGAAATAAAGTTGTTATGCGTAGCTATGAATAGCCTCCATTTCTTAGCGCGTCCAACCTATGTACTTTAATTGTATCTTTTTTTTGTTAGTTAAGATGATAAATTACCATCTTGATTTGATGCTTTCATGACTGCAGGAATCCATACTCTTTGGTTCTTTCGGTAAAGTCACGTGGGTAGAAATAAAATCAAATAAAACAAATCACATCAAATAAATGATTTTTTTATTTTATTTTATTTCTACCCACGTGACTTTACCGAAAGAACCAAAGAGTATGATAAATTATATCCGGTGAAAAAATTTGGTTAAGTTTATAGCAGGTACTTTTGGTTAATTTAGCACGTGACTGCAAACAGAAAAAAAACAAAATTCTGTATCAAAGTCTGAGTTAAGGTGATTCTGAGGGGTAGATTGTTTAAAACAAAAAAATATATATTTTACCAGGTAAGGCCCACTGAGCCATATAGCTATTTTTTTCAGAAGCGACCTGGCCACAAATGATAGCTCAACAAAGTGGCTTGTCGCGTGTAAATTCATTGCAGACAAATACTCTAAACGAGTGATGTTGATTAAAAATGTGGAGGGAAAAACCGGAGGACCCAAAGTTCCTCACGACCATAGGGAGAACATGCAAACTCCAAATATACAGCAGGCGTCGAGATCGAATCCACAACCTCCTGTATACCAGGCGAGGTGGTTAACATCTCGAAGCTCCGGAAGTGCATTTGTAAAGATTTGTCATTTTGATTGAGAATCAATTCCAAGCAATTCGATGCTGATCCTAGGTGAGTTTAATCCGAATTAAAAGCAATCTCGGTCGATACTACGACGAATGAGTAGGCTAAATTTCGATATAAAGCTTTCGTGACTGCAGGGATTCATCTTCTTGGTTCTTTCGGTAAAGTCACTTAGAAGGGAAATAATAAAATAATAAAAATAAAACATGATAAACTATCATTTTCACAACGTTTCGGCCACAACGCAAGCAGCCGTCCTCAGGTGAAGAACAGGTCTGTCGGAAAGACAGCGTCTGAATGGGAACCACCAAGCTTGGCAGCGTATATTTGAGCTCCCCTTCCCCCTCCAACCCAGCTTAAATATACGCTGCCAAGCATGGTGGTGCCCATTCAGACGCTGTCTTTCCGACAGACCTGTTCTTCACCTGAGGACGGCTGCTTGCGTTGTGGCCGAAACGTCGTGAGAATTATTTTATTATGTTTTATTTTTATTATTTTATTATTTCCCTTCTACGTGACTTTACCGAAAGAACCAAGAAGAATGAGTAGGCTATCAAATCAAAGCACACACAGCTCTGAAATGGTGCAAAGAACGAGGCGTTTGCTAATTGTGGTCGCTCAAAATTAATTGTGACCAAATCCTGCAAAGGCTTCATAATATGTTAATGACGGTTTCTCAATTACATCGTTGAAAGCCAGGATGACTCGGAGGATCATCATCATCATCACTACAGAGCCGTGAAGTGCAATCTCACTTGTGATTTGTAGTGCTTGCGCTAAAATATTTATTTTTATTAATTAAAATATGCTACCCCAGCAGATCCCTGGAGATGGAAGGGGGGTGGGGAGTGGAGTGAATTAACCATTCATTCATGGGATCACCACTTTGCAATTATGAGACCATGGACACGCAGTCGTAATCAGAAGCAGAATCTTTATTTAGACTGGATGGAATCCGATGAGCTATGAAGCTCTTTTTACAGGTGTCCAGATGTCGTCAACCATGACAGCACACAAGTTTTGCTGGACTCTCCGACACTGCAGGGGCTCTGTCTTATACTGGACATGTATTCATATTCTTAGGTTTTTTCGGTAAAGTCACGTAGGTAAAACATCAAAATTAATGAAAATAAATAAAATAAAACAAAAATCACGACGTTTCGGAGGCAACACTGGACATGTCTAAAAAAGAGCTTTATAGCTCGTCAGATTCCTCCAGTATAAATATATTGATGATGATTTTTCGGCAGAGATGACCTCTCCTGGCACCACCGAGCGCTGCGCACGCATCAACTTCATCAGTTTATGTTGTCCTCCTCCTCTGAGCCCTCACTTTCCTCGGACCGAGCTCTGAATGACCAAGGCTGTATTTCTTTCAACGAGTTAAAACACACACACATTGCTTTCAGTGAGCAGAACTTAAACGTAAATTAGTTAATCCTGCAAAATTGTAATAACTGAAACATTGTATGATGTATGAGAACACTTTTGGCAGTGGAAAAAAAAAGTTGCGATGACTCAATTTTAAATAAACTTGCAGCGGCGGTGATTAATTATGAAAACATTTTCTTTTTTTATTGTTGATGAGCATACCCCCTCCTGTTACACTCGTTTATCTCCTCCTGCCTTTCCACCAAACTGGAGGAGCATGGGAATAAACCAAAACAATTTTTAACTAATCATTTTTTTTTACCAGGTAAGGCTCACTGAACTATACAGCTCTTTTTCAGGAGCGACCTAGCCATCACGAATGATAGCCCAACGAAGTGGCTTAGCATCATGCGGACATTATATCGAAGCCAAATACTCTAAACACATGATACTCGGTAAAGTCACGTAGGTAAAAAATTACTGATATCGTAAAATTACTGATACAGTAATTTTGCTGTGAGGGTTGCCTCCGAAACGTCGTGATTGAATTTATTTTAATTTTTTACCTACGTGACTTTACCAAAAAAACCAAAGGGTATGAATCCTTTCAGTCACGAAAACTTCTAATCTAGAATAAACACGTGATGTTGATTCTAAATGTGGAGGAAATAAACTGAGGACCCGGAGAAAAATCCACGTGACCACAGGGAGAACACGCAAACTCCAAATATACAGGCGTCAGGATTGGGATGGAACTCACGACCTCCTGTATACCAGGCGATATAGTTAACATCTTACCACCATGGGAATTATTTTAAAGCTGGGGCATCAAGTAGCCTTGGGTACCCACGTAGAGTATCCAAGGTGGTCCAGGAAGAAAATTCATTGAAGGGACACTGCAAATATCCTCCGATTAGCACTGGTTGGCTATGTACGGCGCGTAAGAAGTGCAACATACATACAAATGGATGTCCGTCATTGTCTCAGAGTTTGCGGGCAACTGCCTTTAACAGCTTACACTACCTTCCGGTCTGCAGTGTTTATGGGAAGTTGGGTTGAGGAGGATGCATGTGGTGGCGGTGGCGGTGTTCGTGGCGATGTTCGTGGCGATGTTAATGGCGATGGAGGTGGCGAAGGTCATCTCGGCGCGCTTTCCGCAGGATCCTCCTGCGTCGTCCCAGCACCTCTCTCGGTGACCCACATGCATGTGTGTGCGCGCGCGCGTCCTCTGCCCCTGTCGCTGCAGGGGACGTGATCGTCTCGGTGAACAGCACGTGCGTGCTGGGCTACACACATGCGGAGGTGGTGAAGATCTTCCAGGCCATCCCCATCGGCCAGCAGGTCGGCCTGCAGCTGTGCCGCGGCTACCCGCTGCCCTTTGACCCTGACGACCCCTCGACGACCCTCGTCACGTCGGTGGCCATCTGTGACAAGGAGCCCGTCGTGCTGGAGGGGGGGAAGGGCACCGGCGGCGTCGTCTGCGGCGGCGGCGGAGGCCTCGGCCTGACCGACGGCGCCAACAACGGCAACCACCACGCGTCGCAGACGTCCACGTCGGGAGTGAGCTCGCAGGACAGCACGCGCGACAACTGCTCGCTCACGCTGGGGCCACTGGACGGGATGCTGGGCCAGGCGGCGGCATCCCTGGGGGCGGTTCCCGGTGCCCAGGGGCAGCTCCAAGGGCCGCTGCTGCACTCGGACAATGTGTCGCTGGCGTCCTCCATCGCCACACAGCCCGAGCTCATGACCGTGCACATAGTGAAGGTACGGGGGCGGCGGAGTGAATGGGAGTCGTCGGAATTGCTTTGATTTTAACTGCTCGAGGAATCCGAACGTTACAACAACAACAGCGCAATGCCACAAGTACGATAGGAGGGCAAAGTGTAGGAAATGTAAGCAAATCACTAAAAATAATAATTATAAGCTAAAGCCCACTGAGCTATTAGTTTGTTTTTTCAGAAGCGACCTGGCTTATAATGTAGACATTTACAGCAGCCAAATTATCTCAATCATCTAAACACGTGTTTCTAAATGGGGAGTGAAAAGCTGAAGGACCCAGAGAAAAAATCCACACGACCACAGGGAGAGAGACGCGCAAACTTTAAATGTACAGGCGTCAGGGTCACGATCGAACCCACGGCCCTCATACCAGGCGATGGATGACGTTAACACCCCGCCACAGTAGCATGATGCATCTGTGTGTGGCGGTTAAGATGCCTGGTATGCGTACGCGGGGACGCTGCCTGCCCGTGATCGCGTGAAGGTCCGAGCACGGGACTTGCAATCCAGGGGTCCGCCGGTTTGGTCCGATCTCCCGGCATTGCCGGTTTAAATGGCAGTGCAACTTTCTCATGTGCCCTCCGCCTCTGTCCATCCAGTGGGCTTACGCCGCAATCGATAGGCAGATTGCGTGCGGCGGGGTAAAGTGTGGGTACTCCTACCTCTTCCCGGGTGTCTGGCTAGCGTGGAAGAGTAGGAAAATTCTTCTTGGTTCTTTCGGTAAAGTCACGTAGAAGGGAAGTAATAAAATAATAAAAATAAAACATAATAAAACAATTCTCACGACGTTTCGGCCACAACGCAAGCAGCCGTCCTCAGGTGAAAACCAGGTCCGTCGAGGCGACAGAGTCTGAATGAAACAGCACACGAGCTTGGAGCATATATATAAGCTGGGCGCATTGACAAAGGAATTTGCATATCAAAAGGAATTTAGCATATTTATGGGAAATGCAGGAATGTGATTAGTACTGCATATGCATGTGCATTATGCAGGATTAACAGCATCAAAGGGAGCTGCAGTTACTGCTGCTGCTGCAGTTGCTGCTGCTGCAGTTTCTGCTGCTGCTGCAGTTGCTGCTGCTGCTGCAGTTTCTACTATCAACTCCCCCACTTACAAACTGGCTCGTTTTTTGTCCGAAATCCTACGGCCTTTCACTGGAAAAACCACCTCTGCAGTACTAAACTCTACTGACCTGGTATCGACAATCAAGGGGATTGCCCTGTCCCCAGACGACCTGCTTGTCAGTTTTGATGTGGTTTCCTTGTTCACCAAGGTGCCTGTGCCTGACACCATCGCAATCATTGAAGACTTGGTTCATCAAGGACTGAATGCTGGGGTACCCCCCCTGGTGAGACACTGCTTAACCAATACATACTTCACCTGGAATGGAACCTTCTACAAGCAAATTGAGGGCACCCCAATGGGCTCCCCCCTATCTCCGGTTGTAGCCAACATCTTCATGGAGAAATTTGAGACGGACGCCATCCAGACTGCCACTCTACGCCCGACCTTATGGAAGAGGTACGTAGACGACACTTTTGTCATCTGGCCACATGGCCGGCCTGCTCTAGACCAATTTCTCGACCACATCAATTCCATACACCCAGCCATCAGATTCACCATGGAAGTCGAAAATGATGGCAAGCTACCCTTTTTGGATGTCCTAATCAAAAGGAGACCTGATGGTTCAATGAGCCACTCTGTCTACAGGAAAGCCACCCACACGGATGCTTATCTAAAACCGGATTCCCACCACCATCCATCCCAGAAGAATTCCCTCATCAAGACTCTATATCATAGAGCCCAATGCATCTCCGACCATGAACACATTTCCAGTGAACTCAAACACGTACGCCAAGCTCTTAAGGCTAATGGTTACTCCGACTACACAATCCGCAAAGCCATCACTCCAACCATCAAGAAGGATCCTGTTGAGGAGCCTTTCAAGACCATCACCTTACCCTACATTGCTGGGGTCACAAAAAAGATCTCCAAAATCCTGATTAAACACAAGATCCAGGTCCGATTCAACACAGTACATAAAATCCGTGATCTGGTCCCGTCTGTAAAAGATGTGGTTCCAGACATACAGTACCCTGGCGTCTACAAACTAAGTTGCCTCTGTGGTAGCAGTTACATTGGAGAAACCAAACGACATGTCTCGGACCGCATCCGTGAACATAAGGCAGACCTGAAACACGGTAGGACAAACACCTCAGCCGTGGCAGATCACTGTTACAACTCAGTGGGCTCACATGATATTGACTTCTCCAAGACAGAGGTTCTCTGCAAGCCATCTGGCTATCATGAGAGATTCGTTCATGAGGCGATCCACATATACAAACACAGAGACAATTTCAACCGAGAAGATGGATTCTGGCTTAGCAATCATTGGAAGGACGTAATAAACCATTTCGGATCTTAACTGATTGTGTTCACGTTTACGGTGACTTTCAGACCGCGTTCCACTCACTGGCATGGTGCAGTGTGCAGAGTAATGTATGGTGTCGTAATTGTATAGTAAACATATAGCAGTGTGATACACATTAGGGTGGGTAGAATAATACATAGTGTTATATTAAAATGGATAAGGCAGCAACTGCAGCAGCAGCAGCAAGTACAGCAGCAGCAGTAACAGCAGCAGCAGCAACTGCAGCAGCAGCAACTGCAGCAGCAGCAGAAACTGCAGCAGCAGCAACTGCAGCAGCAGCAGTAACTGCAGCTCCCTTTGATGCTGTTAATCCTGCATAATGCACATGCATATGCAGTACTAATCACATTCCTGCATTTCCCATAAATATGCTAAATTCCTTTTGATATGCAAATTCATTTGTCAATGCGCCCAGCTTATATATATGCTCCAAGCTCGTGTGCTGTTTCATTCAGACTCTGTCGCCTCGACGGACCTGGTTTTCACCTGAGGACGGCTGCTTGCGTTGTGAGAATTGTTTTATTATGTTTTATTTTTATTATTTTATTACTTCCCTTCTACGTGACTTTACCGAAAGAACCAAGAAGATGAATCCCTGCAGTCACGAAAGCTTTAAATCGAAGTAGGAAAATTGTCATCCAGAGGTGCTCCCTAGGGCGCCTGCGAGTGTCGACCCTTTCGCCAGCGGTGCGGCGTGAGTAAGCAATTGCAGGGCCGCACCTTTATCTTTATTCATGCACATGAAACGATGCAACATTCAAGCAATGAATTATATCCTTTTGACATTCCACTGCTGGATGAAGGCCTCCCCATGCCATGTCAGTCACGAGGTTTGTTTGACCACACATCAATGCGATGGTCTTCATCAATACACCATCGAAACACCACAGGTCGTCACAAAAAGGAGGCAGTATGAAGTGCATAAAAGTAAGTAAATAAATAGTTGACTTTACTTCCAGTATGGAATTTTCCGTAGGATATAGTTTCAAAGCACTTGCGTTATTGTAATCACCAAGCAAATATATATATATTTCATTCCCATTAAGAACCACAGAGGAAGGAATACTTTTTCAATATAAGTCAGGTTAAACGTCTCTATAATCTTAATATGTAAACAGAGTGATGGTTTGTCTAGTAGCTGCGACATTTAAACGTATCCTGGACTGGTCAAACACGACGGTTTGTAACGCCCTGCTCAGTTCCACATTCCTGCTATTCGCGTTTATTTCACTCTTATTACGTGGTACAATAGAAATATATATAAAGGGAAAATAACATTGAAACAATAATGGGCTCGGTAGGTATACAGCAGTGCAATCTAAATTACTCTGACCGCCTATAAACCAAGACAGGGAAGGCAATAAGCGGGGAGCTAGAGGCAGGCATGTCCTCATTGTGTGGTCATTTTGAACCCTAAATTATGAATGCTATTATTGCTATTGAGCTGCCAAGAACACAGCAGACGGCAACAGTGGAGGGCATTGATCTCTTGTTATTGCTGGTCACAGAGGAACAATCGATAACTATTTCACATGGCGGCGGTGGGGGGGGGGGGGGGTGCTAATTCTAAATAAATGAGATTAGCGCACACGCTACTGCTGTACTGAAGAGAGATGAGTGTACAGCTCGGGTTCTAAACCGCGTTATTAAAGGAAATTAATGTGTTCTGAAAACCAGGATTGGACACCACCTGCTTTGCGGTAATCTACCCGTCACCTGAATCATGCCGGGTTGGCAGATGTGCTCTGTAATGATAAAGCCAGCTTAATGGCTCAACTTTACAAGTCTCGCTGTCGGTCTTTGTCCTTTTGAACAAACAGGTGTGCGATTCTCAAACAACCTCTCTGGCACTGACATATGTGATCTGTTTCCAAATGTCACGGATTAATTCTTGAGCAAAACCGTGGGGGTTGTTTTACTCTTTTCTAAGGATGAAAGCATTAAACCGTTAGCTCTGTCCGTCAGTCGGTGGTGGGAGGAGGAATGACAATTCTCATAAAATCGATCCAAGATGAGCTCAGCTTAATTGCAAAGTTGTCTCGCTATTGGGGACTCTTCCTGCATCAATGCGCTCCTTCCTGAGCGCCCGCCGCGAGCACTATCGCCATCGTTAGAAGCCGATTCAATACCTCGCGGGGACTGTAACCATGCACACGAGCATGGTTTTTCTTCCCAGTTGACCTCCGAGCGCGGTTTTTCCGCACGCAGGGCCTGCTGGGCTTCGGCTTCACCATCACGGACACGCCGGCGGGCCAGCGCGTCAAGCAGATCCTGGACGGCCCTCGCTGCCGAGGCCTCCGGGAGGGGGACATCATCGCCGAGATCAACAAGCAGAACGTGCGGCCGCTTTCGCACACGCACGTCGTGGAACTGCTCAAGGAGTGCCCCACGGGCAGCGAGACCATCGTCACGATCCACCGCGAGGGTGAGCGAGGCGGGGTGGGGGGGACCATTTAAAAACCTAGCGGGGGAATGATGTTAGCCGCCCCTTCAGAGATGGGGACTATCTGCTGCTGCTTGCTGTTGCTGCTGCTTGCTGTTGCTGCTGCTGCTTGCTGCTGCTGCTGGCGCTTGCTGTTGCTGCTGCTGCTTGCTGCTGCTGCTGCTGGTGCTTGCTGTTGCTGCTGCTGCTGGCGCTTGCTGCTGTTTGCTGTCGATTGCTGCTGCTTGCTGTTGCTGCTGCTTGCTGTTGCTTACTGCTGCTGTGGCTTGCTGCTGCTTGCCTTTGCTGTTGCTGCTGCTGCTTGCTGCTGCTGTTGCTTGCTGCTGCTGTTGCTTGCAGCGTGGAGCTTGAGTTTGTGGATCGAACCCACGCTCCCTTTTTGCCGTGAGGCTCAAGTGTTGTTTCCACAACCGTTGCAAACCCTGCCGCCCGAATAATACAAGTCAAAAGTTACGCTGCGTTAAATCTCTTTAATATAACATTAAAGTGATTAAATTTAATTGCCTTGTACTTTTTTTTCAACAGGATATTACTCTCCGAGAACATCTAATCAGGTATGTTTTTTTTTGTTAAATGATTATAAGGGGTTGATGGTGGAATTAAATGTTTTGTTATTCTGATTAAACCCATTCTACTACTGCCTCCAGACTCTTAATTACAAATTAACTAATGGGGCACTAAAAGCTAAATGAAATACAGTTATTATAATAACTGGCGGGAGTTTGTTCCAATTATTCTGTCTATAAAATATGCTTACCGGGATTGCAGATTGTTATCTTAACATCCCAATAATACTGGTAGTAACCTCCTGGTTACACCAGCCCACAGGGGATTATTGTGTCCGTCCGTCCGTCATGCAGGGAGGGGCTGGGTGGGGAGGGAGGGGCTGGGTGGGGAGGGTTGGGGCTGGGTGGGCGGTGGGAGGGGTAGGGCTGGGTGGGGTGGGGAGGGGCTGGTCACCCCGTGGTGCCCTTATAAAACTCAACGTTTAACCTACTCACGCCGGCTTGTGCCCGCCCTCACAGTCGTGCATATTTGCGGAATACACCACGCCGCCGTTGACCCTGGCCATTGACCGAGCAACCCAACGTTCCTACCAGCTCCCTCCGCAGGACAATGTGTTATTACAGGTTAAACGTATTGTTATATCTTCATCAGTATCCACATTTTATATTCGTGTCGAATGGTTTGGTGTCTTTTCAATTCGTATCAAGAGGATATATTGGTTTGTCTCCCCTGGCCAAGCTATTAATTCCATTGCTCATGTTATGAATGTCATTATTTGCAGTAAAGTACATTATTTTATGATCCTCAGTTGACGTTCTTTATTCACACAGGTGCTAGACCACTGAGACATATGATTGAACTTAAGTATAAAACTAGAACTATTTTTATTTTACCAGGTAAGCCCCGTAAACTCTTTTTCAGAAGTGACCTGGCCACAAATGATAGCTCACGTGAACACTTCTAGCTGCCAAATACTCTAAAACGCATGTTGATTTTAAATGTGGAGGGGAAAACTGGAGAAATCCACGCGAACACGGGAAGAACATGCAAACCCCCAAATATACAGGCATCAGGGTCGCGATCGAACCCATGACTTCCTGTATACTAGGTGAGGTAGTTAACATCTCACCACCATGGCGCCATAATTACCCATAACTTTAACGTTATACATTTTAAGTTCACCCACAAATATTTCTTCATCTATCTCCCACACCTTACCAGGATTTTTCTTCCCCAAACAAAAACAAATCTGGCAATCGGGCATAGCATTTCATAAAAGTCTCAAACCCTACACAAGAATAGCACGGTAAACATTTTCCAGCACTTTTTTTTCAACGAGGTCAAATGTTAAAGTTCGTTCAGGATCTCTTGGATCAAAAGGAGCTCTCACTTCATCAAACGAGCTTGACCCCTCGGTCACATAAAAGACAATTTACGATGCTGAGAATGTAGACGATTATTATTGATCCGATTGATTAAAATGATTGATTCACTGATCATTAGGCTGGCTGGCTGCTTGACTGATTAATGCACCTAATTATTGAGAGGCTGATAAATCAGTTGAGCGAGCGCTGCGACGATGACATTTAGACAGCTGGATGACCCAGCAGAGCCAGGCAGCCCCTCTCACTAAGCCAGTTTGTTCAGGGCAGAGTGGAGGGGGGGGGTGAATCCAACAGCTTCCCAGTAATTTCTACGGCAAATTACCCAAGTGTGCCATTGCTTTAGAATGGGTTGTTAATAGCTGTGCAAACTCCTTTTCTTAACTACACATCCGACGGCTGGCACTGCGATAGAGCCATTCTCAAGCAAAGAGAATGGCTCTAAGTTCAAATCCCGGTCATGGGTCACCTCTGCCCGTCATCTCTGTGGGGTTGTAAATTAACTGCCTCTTTGTGGGAAGTGGATATTTTGCGCGGAGATTGCTTCTCGTCGTAGGAAAGTGGAAATTGCACTACTTTTTTTCGGACTTACCAATGGAATTGAGCACTGCTCTTTGGCCACAGGGTTATGGAGTACTCTTGGATGTGTATTTATGTTTTACTTGACTACTTCTGCCCAACATCTGCCTTGCGAAAGCCGTAGACAATCTCACCGTGACTAAATCATGGAACAGGTGTGTGTTGAATCTACGCCTGTCCAAGGCTTTTTTCTTCTATGGTCGACTCCGCCTTACCTGGTGCCGTGTGTGAGCATCAGCATCGGAGAGAACAAAGCAGCGGGCTCATTGCCGGCCATACCAACCCTGCCATCTGCGGCTGGGCTACTCATTGGGTTAATAGGTTCTTGTGCACACAGGATTCAACAGGCAACCTTTGTGTGCGTGGGTCTATGGGGAGCGGAGGTGTAGTTGTTATCGGGACGCATGACAAACCCGGCATCCAGAAGGTAATTCACCGGCCACGGCTGACATCAATTGCGAGCGACATCACCTAACCAGTGCTGTGCCCTCCCCTACTGCCGACCCAACCATAAAACGCGCGATGTGTAAACGTCAAAACACGTGGAAACGAAAGCCCGGCCACACACCCTGCACATCGCCGTGCCGTGCCGGCATTGACAGGCACTACGCCCCAAAAGATGTGCGTTCCGGTTATAGGAAGAGCTCTTGCTTTTTTCTGTTTGTGCGTGTGTGCGGGACGTGCGTGGGGGGCGGTAGTGTAGCAGTTAGCGCCTCGCTGCGCCACGAACCCGGTGACCCGGGTTTGTTTCCCGCTCACGGCCAACATCGGTGATGATTACTTGATTCTAGATTTGAAGCTTTCGTGACTGCAAGGATTCATACTCTTGGGTTTTTTCGGTAAAGTCACGTAGGTAAAAATAAATAATAAAAATAATAGAAATAATAGAAATAATAATAGAAATACAATTTTCAATAATTAAAAATATTAAATGTATAAATAAAATTATAAAAAATGTATCATTTTATTTCTATTATTTCTATTATTTTTATTCTTTATTTTTACCTACGTGACTTTACCGAAAAAACCTAAGAGTATGATTACTTGAACCGGGTCCCCTAGGTCGACTCAGCCTCAGATGAGTACCTGGTGCTGTGTGTAAACGTCGCCACTCGGGAGACAAAGGGGGTCGGGCGTGGTGCTGGCCACCCACCCCCCACCCCCTCGTAAGCCGTGCCGGCCTTCATAGCAGAGGTCGCAACCGGGTACCCGATACCCGTACCCTACCCGATACCCGGCTACCCGTACCCAGCCGGGTACGGGTACGGGTCCCCGTTTGCCACCCTGGTGCGGCCGGGTACGGGTAGGCCGTGAGTCACTGGTGAGTCACCATTTGTCACTCATTTCCCAACGTCTTGTCTCTTCTCACAATTCAAGTTCCTAGAATCAACCCACCCACAGCCTGCAACATGGCTTCATCCCAGAGGTCGCAATCGGGTACCCGTGCCCTACCCGATACCCGGCCAGGTACGGGTAGCCGGGTATCGGGTAGGGTACGGGTATCCGATTGCTACCCTGGTGCGGCCGGGTACGGGTAAAGGAATTAAAACCCGTTTGCGACCTCTGCTTCATAGGTGCTACTTGGGAACAGCCCTTGCCCCCGACAGTCTGTCGAGGCTACACGGGGGGGAGGGGGTGGGTGGGGAAATCTTTGTGTCTTTGCTGCTGTGTGTGCGCGCGCGTGTGCAACACAGGTGACGGAGAGGCTAAAAAACCAGGCGTGTCCCCAGTACGGCCTGCCCCCGCTGAGGATAGCGCCGCCCACCGTCCCACCCATGGCCCCACCCCTCGGCCTCATGAAGCCCTCCGCCTCGCCCTCGCATTCGGACGGGCAGGAGCGCCGGGGGGGGCTGGGCCCGCAGCACTACGAGGAGGCGGCGGTGACCTACGACTTCCGATGTGAGTGACCCCGCCGAACGCTCCCCGCGCGGTGGCACCGCATCGACCTACTGCATCACTTAGGTCTGGCTGTGACGGTCCCACCTGATGACGGAGACTTGTGTTGCCTCCGAAACGTCGTTATTTTTTATTTCTATTATTACTTTTATTAATTTTCTTTTTTACCTACGTGACTTTTCCGAAAAAACTTAAGAGTATAGCAGAGGGTGCTTGAAAAACAAAAAAATGTGAACGCTTCTGAGAATTTAAAACGATGCCACAAGAAATGTGCCGCCTCCAGGCTCTGGAGACCACCTGGAGAAGATTCCAGGGCACGCGTTGACAATGATGGCGAACAAGTGGGAGACTCCTTGAAGCTATTAACATATAATCTGTTATCATGTTACAGTGTCGTATCCGTTATTTTTTCATTAAAAACGATAGTCCCATTTAAGTGGTAAAACAATCTTCTTGGTTCTTTCGGTAAAGTCACGTGACTTTACCGAAAGAACCAAGAAGATTACGTGACTTTACCGAAAGAACCAAGAAGATGAATCCCTGCAGTCATGAAAGCTTTAAATGGTAAAACAATGTCGAAGCACCGAGGTCTCCCCCCCCGCCCCCCCCCCTCCCACTTGGAGGTGGAGTGATGACATAATTGGCTCGTGTGCAGGTTGCTAGTGGCTTTGCCACATCGTGGAACTGCGGAGGATGGCGGTGGTGGTGGTGGTGGTGGCATGGGGAGGCCTCTGTCCCGCGGGTGGATTGACCATGCTGATGACGATGACGATGATGATTTTTCAGGCAATGGCCCTTGTCTTGAGTCAGAAGAGAGAGCGTAGAGAGATATGAGATCAATGGGACGTTTTAAGTAACATTAGGTAATATTATCTATTTTTAGGCATTTCCTCTCATTGTCCAGTGAGTGTCAAACACACACTCCAAGAGTCATGGATGTGAACATATGCCAAGAAAACTATCAAACACACAAAACAACAGATTACACACAGGCACACGTAAACCCACAATAAGTCTGTCCCATTGATGATGAACTGTGAGTGTGTTTATCTTGACACCATGTCACCCTTTACACGTGCCTGTTTGAATGTCTATTTTCCTTTTGATGTCTCTCCACTTATTTTGCACGGGCTCAGAGGCAGCGCTTCTCAATTTCTATTGCTTTAACCTTACCAATGGTCTCTCTATGCTCCTCGGCCTATCTGTAATCGAACGCAAGTTGTTTTTACGCGTTGTGCAAACCTCATCTTTCGGATGACAAAGGAAAATCCACCGTGTGGTGCAGCAGAAGGACTGAGATTTGCCAAAACGCCGGCGAAAAGAATCGATTCTGTGCCGTGAGCTCTATTTCATGAGCACTGTGATAATTGTGTCACAGATGTTGTGATGTCTCGCCACCTAGACTGTGTGTCAGTGTGGAGTGCTAGGTGGACCAAAGCAATAGGCAAGTAGACCATCATCACCCGACACAAATTCACCGTGGTTAATTTTTTCTGCTTGTGCTAAATGGAGATTGCAATCAAAATCGCGAAAGAAACCGCCCGTGCTTTATGCATGCAGAGAGTTATGACTACCATCCATTCTTTTGTGTTACAATGCCACTGTTAATCTGTAGCCTGTGATAATTAAATGGAATTAAACATTAGTCGGCCGTCTTTATGTTTAAATAGAATGAATGAGGGTTTATGCAAATGTGGTAGCTTTAGTTATGCGTATGTTTTTTAATATTTCCCCCTTCAGTGCATTGTCTCTTTCACAGTGTGAGATGCCATCTTTCATGTAAATAAAATAAAAGCCAGACCTAATTAGATCTTAATTATAATGCGATTCCAAAAATGCCTTGCTTCTGCGAATATTTTCATAGGAAATGTAAGTAAAAAAATATATTTTCTCATCACCTAAAAATAAAAACAAGTATAACCCGTAAAAACAAAGTTTTTCACTAAATCCTGTATATCCCTGGCGGCTCGAGTCCTCTCGTCCTCTGGCTTGAGATGGCTGCCACCTATGGGTCAGATGATTGCATTGCACCATTAAGCAATTGGTAATTAAATATAATATTTTTGTCCTAAAAAGTGTAAAATTTTGGAGAAAAAAATTTCACGAACATTAATTGTCACGCACAACGAGTCTGTGTGGAAAATGTCAGCTCGATTGGATCACGGGAAGTGGGTTAAAAAACGACCGAAAGATTTGCACGGTCGTAAGCAAGCAAGCGAACTTAATATAAAGGATTTAAATAAGTATAACCCGTAAAAACAAAGTTTTTCACTATAAATCCTTTATATGCGTGGCGGCTAGAGTCCTCTCGTCCTCTGGCTTGAGATGGCTTCCACCTATGGGTCAGATGATTGCATTGCACCATTAAGCAATTGGTAATTAAATATAATATTTTTGTCCTAAAAAGTGTAAAATTTTGGAAAAAAAATTTCACGAACATTCATTGTCACGCACAACGAGTCTGTGTGGAAAATGTCAGCTCGATTGGATCACGGGAAGTGGGTTAAAAAACGACCGAAAGATTTGCACGGCCGTAAGCAAGCAAGCGAACTTAATATAAAGGATTTAAAAAACGTATATGGCCAACTAGTGTTACACATTCTCCCCGGGAAAGAGCAGCTGCTGCTTTAGTTGTTTGGTCGCCTGTGTGGCTCTGAAATGGTCTTCAGCTCTCTCCGGCTTCTATGCATGCGAGAAGCGCTTTAGTGAAGTGTCACGTTACGTGGAGTCTTTGATGGCTTCGGTCCCCCTTTTTGTTTGCTTGAGAGGGGGCCATGAGTTCACCGTTCAAAAAGGACACTCCAAAACGAATAAAAAAACAAGGCCTCGGTTGAAATCTCCAGACGGCTCCCTTCCAGGCGTGCTCGCATAGTGTTTGGGGTTTGCGAAGCGAAAATGTCTAAAATACGAAAACGACAAATTACCGCAGTGGCTTCAGGAAATGCCACCGCAATCTTAATTTAATGCCCGCAGTTTGCCAAATCGAATCGCTTCAAGAGTAATTAAATGTGATATTACTTTAAAAGGGAGCTGCAAGCCAGTTTATGACGAGTCTGCACCTTCTCGCTTTTGTTAACGAGCTTTCGCCGATGCCATTTTTTTTATTGCTGGGAAACTTTTGGCAATTATTGGAAATCTATTCCTTGAAATATCACAACTTAACCAAGTAAACAATGTGAAAAAAAAATTCCCTCTATTCATTTTTTTATATGGTAATCAAACTCAAATCATAGATAAGTATGTTTTCACATTGACAGTTGCTCAGATCTACTTGCAACGGTTATACGTATGTATGTCAATCATATGATACTATGAACGTGTGCATAGACATCTCTTAAGATAACTTGTCAAACGGTCTTTTCGGTACCGACAGCTGCATCAGACTGTGTTAAGGTGGTTATACGACATTTTAAAATACGGTGTAATTTTTTCAAAGTCCTGGTATAGGATGTGACACTGAAATGTATGTTCATTGAAACCCTTAAGAAATTGCAAAACCTGCCTTAAACAGTCACGCGTGTGATGTAGCTTCATCGCGGCAGATCACAAACATGGCATGTGATATTTATTGACCGTTTTATGTTTTTATCTATTTTTAGCAATAATCCCACTCGCTTTCACACATAGCACAACAAAAAAGGCCTTGGATCAAACCTGTTCTCTGTGAGCAGCATTTAATAGATTGATAAAAAAAAAAAATTACATCTGTACCTTAATGTCTACAATACACACAATTGCAAAGTAACCGGCGTTGCACATTGCCCTGGCTTGGGTTTAGTACAAGGCCCTCAGTAATGCCGCTGCTCCCTCGTATGCAAAAGAACCTCCTTTTGCCCAATGCGTTTCACCACGAATACTTCGGTTTTCCGAGTCTGGCCTATTGTGCGTGCTGAAGCCACGTCTCTGTGCGACGATGGGTGACCCCGGGCCTTTTCACGCACGGGCCCCCCCAGACTAAATGCGCATTTCGTAGGAATGCTCATTCCCGGCTCATTCAATATTTGCCTCCGTGGCTTAGTTTTGTCACGCACGTGCAGTATTTCTTACGTGTTTGCCTCATCCGTCCAATTTTCGTACACCCTCCGTAAAATTCATTTGACAAGCTCGGCCGGATTCTCTGGATTGTGAGATGCTCCAGAAAGTAAGAAGAGCTGCCCAAAACTTGTGGCCCGGTGTCGATAAAGCTATGCAAATGTGGTCGCAACAAGACAAGCATCCCCCCACATAGCCTTTCCCTGAACCGTTGGAGAAAGTTCCGTTAGCAGGCGTTACGCACCTCCAATTAGCACGGTTGGCCACGTACGCCGCGAGAGAATGTCAAAGTACTCGCGTGCAAACATAGCGAGTGCCTGCAAAAGGCTGCGGAATTCACTTTCACTGGACGTTCACTCTGCGGCATTCAAATCGCGCCTTAAAACGCAACTTATTTTTCAGGGCTTTTTCTACGTAACTTAAATTCTTTTCGATTTAAAGCTTTCGTGACTGCAGGGATTCATCTTCTTGGTTCTTTCGGTAAACAAAATAATTATTTTATTTTGTTGTGTTTTGTTTTTATTATTTTGTTACTTCCCTTCTGCGTGACTTTACCGAAAGAACCAAGAAGGTTAAAGCCTTTAGTGTTTGAATCTGATTGGTGTGAGCCTGCGGAGTGTGTGTGTGTTTTGTACCGCGCCTTGCGATCTCTGGGTGGGAGGCCATTTAGAAGTGTAAATTATTATTATTACTCCTCAGCAGTGGCCAATCAGACCCAGATGGATATCTTTAGCAACTGCGGGGGAGATTTCTTTTGTGCATACTCATTTGGCATCCAGCAGGTGAAACCTTTATCTCTCAAATGTCCCTTTGCTGAATAAATTATCGTGCTGCCCCCCTAAACAGGCACGACGTGGAGGCGCGCCGCATTGTAAGGAGCGCGCGTCGTGGTGGGCATGTGTTGAATTAATGTGTGTGGATTGTGTCTCGGTGGGGTGCGTTCAAGGGGCCATCAACGCATTGCTGCTAAGCCGGGAACGTTCAAACAAAGCCACGATTTGCATTTACGGCCCGAGTAAAAATGACTGTCGATAGTAGTTATTCTTGAGTTGATTGCAAGCGTGGTATAACCCTTTTCGTTGATTCACTGTCGGATGAAGGCCCTCCACACGCCGTGTCTCCCTGCCTGTTGTGGTTGTTCGACCATACTTCACCAAAGCAAGACTGGTTTCAATACCACCATTGACCATGACCGGGGCATTGAACTGGTGTCGCTCGGTTCATGTTGCAACTGCGCTCACCACTTTGCCATCGCTTCAACCGTTTAAAATGAAAACAAAAAATGTTAACCCATGAATTCTCAATAATAGATTTTGCTTAACCATAAAATACACGTGGCTCTGTGAAATCTCCTTTAAATAATTCTCCGTCTTTACAGATTGTGCACACAACGCGTTACAATCTACCGGTGAAGTATGCTCAATTTACCACTGTAACTTCCATGGTGTGGGAATGGGTTCTTCATCCAGAAGTGAATTGGGAAAAAAAAAATCTTATCTGTCAGAATTTAAATGAGATTATTTTAACAACCGTCTATGATTGGGTGAATTATTTTTTTTAAACCTGAACTCATCTGCTTTGCTATTTTTTTTTCTTTACGAATGTGAACATATGTAGCACCAACGTGCCAGAGTTAATGTTTAATGACGCAAAGTAGAAAGCCACCGTCAAGTCAGAGGCTTCCATGTGCAAATTAGCATCCTGTCAGTGCCCGCCGGCTACTGTTGGTGCTGAGCCAATTGCGGAAATGTCACGTTCCCACAAAGTGTTAATCTCGTTTTATAATCCCCCGAAAGGAAACAATGGGCCGAGTCATCCCCCGACTCGGAGTTGAACTTGCTTTCTGTCATATCCTGTAACGCAGCGTGAATGACGCGAAAAGAAATCTCTCATTTGCACGAAATATTAGTACGATTGATTCTATTTATTTTCCACAAACTGCTGGTGGCTTTAGCGGTAGAATGTGCCGCTCGCATTCGGAAGGCTGCCCCGATTCAAATCTCGGTCGGGGTTCGGCTCAGCCCATCATTCCTTCAGGGTTGTACAGTCCCACTTTGTGGGGCGGTCGACGGTCATCGTCCTATGGATGGGCTCGAACCCTCGCCATAGGAATGTGGAATTTCCACGGCTGGCTCAGAGCTGTGAACGGGAGGCTGAGAGTTATCACCGCGGAACACGACGGCAAACCAAAAAAAACGAAATAATTGCAATTGACGGCACGAAGCGGGGTTTTGAGATTCGCGGGCAAACTCGTCTCATCCAGCTCCCGCAATGTTCTTCCCGCTCAGCTCCCGAGTACGAAGAGATGGACGTCTTGCTGCAGAGGCAGGAGTCCGGCTTCGGATTCCGCATCCTCGGTGGCGACGACCCAGGAGAGCCGGTGCGTGTTGCCTCTGTGCCCGGGCATTGTGAACCCACACAGAAATCTCTCATTGTAAAGCATTTTTACACGAAGTTTACAGTAATTACATGCTATAAAATCGTACAAAAAAAACAAGATACACAATAAATGAATGGAATGAATTAATGAATATGTGGAATAAATGAAATTAATGAACATTGAACTTCACTTTACCTGTAGTAAGGAGAGTTGATGGCTTGAGTGGAAGGTGGTGAGGAGGAGGAGGAGGAGGTGGTAAAACCTTTGTCTGGGCAAGCGTCATGCATGCTGGCCATATGCATCTCAGCCGTACAAGGTTCTTTCAAGTCGCGATTGCCCGTTCAACCTGCGAATTTCGTTCGGTTTCCGGGACAAATTTTTTTTCGGAAATATTGTTCGAACACCGATTAGTTCGAGTTCTGGTGCGTTCGATCTCTGAGGTTCTACTGTATTACAATAAAAGTGTTTGTTAACTTGTTAAGCCCACCAGACGCCTGGGAAATAAAAGAGGAAATGACACATCTTTATATTTTCTACAGAGCAGGGTTGTACCCTTCAACTGAAAATCAGTGCACGGCTTAGTCAAGATCACAATTCAGTCAGTCTTCGTAATTAATAGCTGTGCATCGATTCAATAATCAATTTATTTTGTAAACGCTCAGGTGAATCTAGCAGCCTCTAGCGGCTGGAAGGGAGTCGCATCATGAACCGACCATGTACAACATAAGCCAATCGGAAAATATAACTTTTCACACAAATTAAACGCAACAAATCAGAAGCCTAAGAATTGATGCAATATTGCACCTTGTTGTTTTAATAGGAATGTAATTTTAATACAAATGCAATTTCGTACCTGCTATCAGCCCACACATCCATAGGACGTCCCCCCCCCCTCTTCCTTTCCCTCCCTCCGATTTAATTCAGCATATTCCATCTCCAAGGAATGAAACAACAAATTTTGTGACAACACCATCCTCTAAATAGGAGCATATACGGTTGTGCCACCCAACTGTGGTTTAAGCCTATTGAAGTAAATTCAAAAGTAATTATCTGACATTACCTACTGCTCACCGTGAGAAATCTGGCTTTTTTATCATCCTTCACGTGATGCCAATCTTATTTTTCTTCTTAGTACGGCCGATGTTGATGTAGAGCAACAAAGATTGTTTTACGTTGTGGTCTTGAAGCCAGAGAATTGCGTCAGGAGCAGTGGAGAGGCGCTGCGGCGTGATGTCTCCTTCCCGTCGAGTCTGCGTTCCACGTACCGCACACCGCAGTATTTTCTTTTTCTTTTCTGTTTGTGTTTACGTGTGCACGTTGAACTTCTTTCACACCGTACAAAGCCAACCGTGCTAATCGGAGCTGCCAGGGAAGGACAACAAGCTCAACACAAAAAGCAGTTCTAAAGAAATGAGTCGTCAATTTAGATTGAAAAGTGCGTAGCTCCCAGTGGCTTCCTGATATTGGAAGGAAGAGCGTTCCAGACGGCCGCAGAAGCCACATTTGAAAGCGGGTTAGCCAAAGCCGCTTTTGCTGCTGCGAGGATGACTCAAGTTTGCGTGATTGTTTATGCTCCTTGACAGGATCAATGAAACTTTACTTATATTCTTGGTTCTTTCGGTAAAGTCACGTAGAAGGGAAATAATAAAATAATAATAAAACATAATATAAATTCTCACGACGTTTCGGCAACAACGCAAGCAGCCGTGCTCCTTCTTCACCTGAGGGCGGCTGCTTGCGTTGTGGCCGAAACGTCGTGAGAATTTTTATTATGTTTTATTTTTATTATTTGATAATTACTCTTCTACGTGACTTTACCGAAAGAACAAAGAATATGAATCCCTGCGGTGACGAAAGCTTTAAATCGAAACATTATGTCGCACAATTCGTGCAAACAATGCAATACAACGTGCTTTACAGGACTAAATGAAGCGACTGGCACAATGGAAACAACATTAAGAATGATACATTTAAAAAATGAACCAAAATTATAATAAAATGCCATAGTAAACGCACAAAAGCAATGAAAACATAGTAAGAAAAAGCTTCAGGTACCCGCATCTGCCATGATTCCAATAATAATAATAATATCGCACAACTGGAATACAAGCGTGTATAATAATCATTGTCACACCGCGGTGTAGAATTCATGCACGCCCCCCACCCGGGCAGCTCTTGTTTATAAAGTTTTTGTCGTTGTTATTGTTGTTGTTGTGGCCGTGGCTTAACCCAGATCCACATTATTGTTGTTGTTGTCGAAGTGGCCCGACCCAGATCTACATTGTTGTTGTTGTCGTCGTGGCCCGACCCAGATCCACATTGTTGTTGTTGTTGTCGCTGTGGCCCGACCCAGATCTGCATTGTTGTTGTTGTTGTTGTCGAAGTGGCCCGACCCAGATCCACATTGTTGTTGTTGTTGTTGTCGCCGTGGCCCCACCCAGATCTACATTGTTGTTGTTGTTGTTGTCGCCGTGGCCCGACCCAGATCTACATTGTTGTTGTTGTTGTAGTCTTCGTGGCCCGACCCAGATCTACATTGTTGTTGTTGTTGTCGCCGTCGTGGCCCGACCCAGATCTACATTGTTGTTGTTGTTGTCGCCGTCGTGGCCCGACCCAGATCTACATTGTTGTTGTTGTTGTAGTCTTCGTGGCCCCACCCAGATCTACATTGTTGTTGTTGTTGTCGCCGTCGTGGCCCGACCCAGATCTACATTGTTGTTGTTGTCGCCATGGCCCCACCCAGATCTACATTGGCGCCATCGTGCCGCTGGGGGCGGCCGACACGGACGGGAGACTCCGCCCGGGGGACGAGCTGGTCTCCGTGGACGGAACCATCGTCGCGGGGAAGTCGCACCGGCACGTCATCGCTCTGATGCAGCACGCCGCACGCAACGGGCATGTGCAGCTCATGGTCCGCCGGCCCGTCATCCCCACGAGTAAGCGAGCAGGTGGTGCGATCCAGGCCAAATCGGGCCATTTAAACATTATTTTTTCATAGTTTTTAAACTATTTTTTTTTATTTAACCAGGTAAGGCTCACTGAGCTACGCAGCTCTTACCCAGAATCGAGCTGGCCGCAAATGATAGCTCAACAAAGTGGCTTATCATGTGGAAATTTATCGCAGCCAAATACTGTTAAACGGCTACACGTGCGTTTCCCAACAAGGGTTCCTGCACCCTTTTTGTGTTTAGTTTTTTGTCCTTGCCCCCTGCACCTCCGATTATCACGGTTGGCTACATACAAAGTTCGACACACGTACACACACTTTTTTTGGTAGGTGACGCAATCGAATCTGCTCACATTCACGAGGTTGTGAAACACAAATCAGCGGGGGGGAGGGGGGTTGACTCGGCCCGGTGTTAAGAACAGGGCTTCCACTCTGCAGCAAGTCAAGAATGGTCATCCTATAGAAAGGATTGTGGAATTTCTGCCATTTCTTTAGCAGTTCAAAATAAATAACTTTTCAATCTAGTGCATCGCTCGAGTGGCTTTCCTAATGTCGGAAAAGAAGAGCGTTCCAGACGGCCGCAGAAGCGCATCTGAAAAGGCGCGACGCAGCCACCGTCTATGTTCGATGGATAGCCGGGAGCCACCGCTGCGAGGTTGCCCGGAGTTTCGCGCGACGATTTACGCTCCCTGACGCGATCGGTCTACGGATGAGCAGTCGCTGAAACGAAACTCACCCCGGTGACGTCGCGTCGCCCCGTCCAGCAGTTGGCGGCGAGGCGCACGGCGGCTTCTGCAGCTCCTCGTCGTCCGCGTCGCAGCACAACTCCCCGCGCATCGAGCAGGCGGCCGCCTTCATGCGCAAGCTCAAGTTCGGCGGCGGCGGTGGTGGCGGGAGCGGCGGCAGCGGCGGCAGCGGCAGCAGCATCGGCGGCCCGCCGCCTCTCTGCGCCGCGCCGCCGCCTCTGCCCCCTCTTGCCGCCGGCGCTGCCCCCGCCGCCGCTGCCCGTGCTGGACCCGTACCTGCGGCGGGCGTTCGGAGCAGGGGATGGCGCCGGCGTCGTCGGCGCTTCCGCTCCTGAGCAGCGGCGCCCCGGGCTCGGCGCCGTGCCTCTCCACGTCGAGCGGCCGCGGCGGCAACGGCGGCAATGGCAACGGCGGCGGCGGCGACAACGGCGGCGGCTGCTTCCCGGAGACGTTCTCGCCGCTCGCGTCTCGCCTGGCGTACGACGGCTGCGGGGCGGCGAGGGCGGCCGGCGTGAACCCGGCGTCGGAGCCGTGCCTGCTGCACCCGAGCCTGCAGGAGTTCGAGCGCGGCGGCCGGGCGGTGGCGGGCGCGGCGCAGGAAGGGGCGTCGGAAGGGGCGCCGGGAGGAGCGGGCGACGGCGCCAGGACGCTGCCGGAGGCGGCGGGCGCGGCCAACGGGGAGGCGCGGGCGAGCGTGGCGACGGCCGCGGCCGTGGCGGCGGCGGCTGTCATCTCGACGGAGGGGTTCCCGTCGTCGGTCGGGAGGCTCACGTACGACGTGACCATCCAGAGGAACGACAACGAGGGCTTCGGCTTCGTCATCGTGTCGTCGCTCAGCCGGCCCGAGGCTGGCACCATCGTGGGTGAGCATGACGGCACGGGCGATGAAGCGGATCCGTAACCGGGTGAACGGATTTAGAGGAAATGGCTTCTGGCTGCAACACGGCTAAAAAATATCCCTCTGCGCAGTGGCGACATGTAAACATACAGTGTTTGTGACATGTCACCTTGACCCATGCTTGTACCAGGTGGCTGTTGACAAGGGCCGCTTTGGGAAAATCCTCCGAATTGGATCATAGTCAGGTGTGCCTCATGTGCTCCAGAGTGCCTGGTGTCCGGGTAACGGACTCTTGTGTCTCACCCAAACGTTCGCATCACCACCTACAATGTAGACGGGGTAGCTTTAGGAAATAATTTGCCGCAAACATTTTTGTACCCGAATATCTTTCAAATTGTGCCCCCACAGCGTTATATCGCGAGATAAAAAACTTTCTATTTGATACGCTGCAGCTAGCGATGCACGATATCCGTGCGTTGAGAAGTTGACTTTGACAGAATTCTGAATGATTTTACACGCGTGTGCGTTTTTGAAATTCGTATTTATTTACAGATTTGAGTTTGCGCGTTGGTTCTTTCGGTAAAGTCACGTAGAAAGAAAATAAATTAAATAATAGAATACGACGTTTCGATTGCAACACAAGCAGTCGTCATCAGGTCGAACTACATTTGAGAGAGAGACTAAACACAGACACGGAGACACACAGAAAGACACACAAGCAGAGAGAGACACACAACATAGACACACAGAGAGAGACACACAACAGAGACACACAGACAGACACACAAGCAGAGAGAGACAATACAGAGACACACAGAGAGAGACACACAACATAGACACACAGAGACCCAATGCCTCTGTGTCGTGGCCTTAAATAGAGAAAGAGGGGGGGTGGGGCAGAGAGAGAGAGGTGGGTCTGCTGGAGCAGAGAAATTGGCATGTCAATGAGAGAGCTGTGTGGAAATCCACCTTGCGGGGGCAGGGGGAGAGAAAGACCCAACAAGTCTGGTAAAATTTAGAGAGTTGTGTGGAAATCCACCCTGAAGTGGCCGGGGGAGTTTCTTGTTGGTTCAGACCATGACGTCACGGCCACTTCGGGGGGGAGTAGTGGCACAGCGGTTAGCGTGCTCCGCTACAAACCTGGCGACCCGGGTTCGATTCCCGCTCATGGCCAACACCAAAGACGATAATCTGAACCGGTCCTTTGCCTCCCCTTAGGTCGACTCGACCTCAAATGAGTACCTGGTGCAGTGTGTAAACATTGCTACCGAGGAGACAAAGTCGGTCAGGGCGTGGTGCTGGTCACCCACCCCTTCGCGTGCCGTGCCGGCCTTCATAAGTGCTTGCCAACAGCACTTGCCCCAGCAGTCTGTTCAGGCTATACGGGGGGTTTTTGTCTTTGTTGTTTTAAATTCGTAGTTATTCACAGTTTTTTAAATCGGATTTGGGGTTTCTTGTTGGTTCAGACCTCTGACCCCTACGCTATGCGCCCACCTCACCTCATCTCAATTAACACGCACAATTAAGACTCCCGTTCTTCGCCGTCAAATGTCTTATTCGCAACGATCACACATTTTTTTGCCAATTGGCAACAAGGGCCCATTATTGGCATGGGTTGATGAAATGAGGACAGCATCAATGCCAACGCAAAAATACTCCAAAGCAAATCGGTTATCCTGCATCAATTATCCTCTCGCTATTCATCTCTCGAGCCTTTTTGCGTCAGCGAATTCATAAATGGCGGCTGAAAATGCGTCGTCAAGTTTATTTGGGCTTGGCCAAGCTCTTGTCAATCACTTCAGTCATCTGGAGTCGTCATTTCATTAAGATCCTATTCCCCCCCCCCACCACGCACGAGGATGAGCCGTGTTATTGTCTGTGGGTCGTGGATCTTTAACCCAGTCGCGCCAAGCAGTGATCCCGCGAGTGTGGTGACTGACAGATGTCGTCGCATAGCCGTGATAAAATAAGAAAGAACCAGTTAAGCCGATTGCCAACAGCCAATTGCAGACCGTCTTGCTAACAGTAGCTGTCGACCGGCTAATTAATCCACCTAGAGCTCTTATAATTGCATCACGAGGCTCGACCAAGCCTGGTCTGCTGACGATAGGCAGCAGATGGAGTTTTTGACCACTTTTCAATTGTTATTTTTTTTCCCAAGTGACACCAGGTGTTTCCAGCTCTGGGTTAGAAAGACATTTGGTACCTTAATCTGCGCTCGTTAAAATGATGAAGCGTTACAGAACTCGCGGTAAATTCGCGTTTATTACGATGCACATGAAGATTGATTAAAATTAACCAAAGCTTCTAAAGGGAATGCACATCTGAACATTACATCGAAATAAAGGAATATGGATATGTATAATTATCCTTATTCACCTACGTACACATGGCAAATCTAAAAGATTAGCACAGTGTTTCACACTAAAGTATGTATGGTTACATATGTATGCATATGTACGTGTACATATGCATACGGTAATTAGAACCGGTGTGAAAGTTATTTCGGACTTGCACATGATGTTATTTACCTTCATCCTTATACAACACATGAAATGTATTTGTAGTGCAATACAAAATACATCACTTGAGCTGGCTTATTGCAGCCATCTATTGCCTTTTCCGAGGCATAGCAGTTCATTGCTCATGGAGACCCATGTTGCTGCAGAGCGGTGCTTAGTCCATGACCTCCAACAAATGGTAACCTCAGCCTCGGTTCTGTCTCCACATTGGAATATAGACATATCAGCTCATCAGCCTCTTGGCGTACCCAGCCAATATTATCCAGCACCATTTGTTCGGTTTTTTTTCAGCTGTGCACAAAAATCTGCACTGCTTTCGACTTTCTTGCGGTGTCATGAGCAGTGAGGATTTTGCAACAAAATATTGCTGCTGGCTTCGCAAGATGCTAAATTCGTTCGCCACGAAAAGAACTGCGTCTTTTCATCTGTTAGGCATCGTTGAGAATTCCCATGCAAGCCTTTTTATGCACAAGAAATATTAATGTTTAATAACGTTGGACCTCAAAAGAATAAAGTCGCGTAGATAGGTTCAAAGAAAATAGCAAAAAACTACGAAGTTTTAAATGTTGGATACATTTTCACCGTAACATTTACATGCGAAAACCGCATTCGTCATGTGCGTCGTTGAGCACGTAGAGCCGACTGAAGCGTGAAACGCCTCTGATGAAATGTACTGCAAGGACTGTGCTCGCAGGCTTTCGTGATATCTCCATCGGACGTTGGAGCCATCCAACTCTCCTCGACAGTCAGAGAGGGAGGGGGAATTTAGTCTCCCCGCCCTCAATCCGATCGTCCAGCGCACCATTATTCAACTCGACTCATCCGCAAGCAGTGGTTTATCCCCGCTGCTCGACATCGCCGTTACCGGCATTGTGAGCATGTCTCTCTCCGTTATCCTCCCCACCTCCGTCCCCCTGGTGGCATGTTTGAAACCATCTCAAGGTCAGCTCGCGAGCGGGGCAGGTGTCGATCGCGATATCGATTGCGCCGTTTATCGCTGGGTGAGGCCCCTGGGCTTCAAATGTGCCATTTTTCAATCAAGCCCGTTTCCTCCGGCCACGCCGTAATCTTGTCACTTGATAGGCAACCATATGGCACCGTGCAAAAAAAGATGGAACGCTGCCAATGGCTAGTAAAGCAGGTGTCGTTATTTTGAAACCAGTAAAATTCTCTGTAAATTGATGGTCGTTATCAGCCTTGCATTGGACATACGTGGTTAAGTGACGGACGATGCATATGCTTTTATATTTAGAAGCTTTTATTGATTGCACACGTATGTAGTTGGCAGCTTCTTTGGGCCACACTAGTATGGGTCCATAACCGTGTACTCTTGTCCTGAAATGATAGTTTTCATTTCAACTATTCTGGCAAATTGCCCGATGATGCTGGATGTAATTACCAGTGAAACGTCAGTACTCAAAAATTGTAAATGTTGTGGATTCACTCTTCAACACACCGGTGGGCTAAAGTAGTGAACTATTTGTCTTTGTCAACGTGACACATGTTTTACTGATTGGCCGTGTCGGGTGGTGGAGGGTTGCGACACATTTATAAGTAACGCGATCTAACCCAAAAACCTTTATTATGAATAATATTGGATCGCGAAAGCCTGCTACGTGTTAAACTTAATTTCATTCAGTTAACCTCTGCTCTGGCTTTTTAGTCGTAACCTTAATAACTAAAGCCTGGTTCACACGGCGATTAATTTTTTTACGGGAAAAAACTATTCTCTGGGAGCCTTTTGCATCGTTGTCAAACTCTGTAAAATCGTACTATGACTAGTTTGACGTACATCGATGTGATAAAGATACGGCTGTTTTACTGGCCAATAAAAATATGGCTGGAACATAACGTTCAATGGTTCCCGTAAGGATTGCCACCTGTCCTGGTTTTGCTAGGATCATTTTCCTTTTTTTTTAGGCAGCTCTCCTGGGAAATCTAAAAGTCTTCCTGGGCGAGGAGATGTTATCTCACTCGTCTGGTACGCAGGAGGCCGTGGGTTCAATCCCGGAGCCTGACGATGCGTGTTGTATATTTGGAGTCCGTGTCTTCTCTTTCTCCCTGTGGTGGCCACGTGGATTTTTCTCCAGGATCCTCCGGCTTTGCCCCTCAACACTGAGAAATAACATTTGTTTAGATTATTTGTCTGCAACTATAAATTCCCACGCGTGATGATATCACCCACTTGAATGAGCTATCGTGTGTGGCCAGGTCGCCTCTGAAAAAGAGCGAATAGCTCATTGGGTTTTACCTCGTGAACAAAAAGTAGTAAATACACGACTCCAGATGTTGGGACACTTTTCAGGCAGACCTCGAAGGTTTCGCGTGTCTACTACACGGTAGCTGCATGGGTCTGGCGGAGAGAAAAAAGCATTGGCGAGGAGTGGTGGTGAAACAAACAGGCTTAGGGCCTTGATGAAATCCGGATCTTGATCAAGGCAATGAATGAAATTATGTACGTTTAACTTCTTTCGCACCGTACGTAGCCAGCCGTGCTAATCGGAGGTGCGAAGCCAATCGGAGGAGATATGGTTGACAACCATACTCCTCTGCCCTTGGCAATGCACTCATTCCATCAGGAAGTGACATCACAGCACGTGGTGTGCCATTGCGTTTTTATCGCCGTTGCTGCTAAACTGTATTGTCCCTTCCAGATATTTCCCGCAAATGATGGAGTGTATTTGCTCGCTTAAATTGTTGACACTGTGGGAAAGAATTGCTCTCTGCCACTCTGTAAAAAAGGTTCTTCATACATGCACAGAAGTGCATCCTCACGGCATCCGTACCATTAACCCTCGACTCCCAATCCCCACATGACTCACAGCCAGCCTTCATTGCTTCTTTTTTAATTTATTTGGAACTTTCATTCATTTATTTTTTATATCAATCGTTATTGGGTAGTTTTTTTCTTAATTTCATTTTAATAAAATTGTACATTCATCATTTGTCTATAGTTAGATGGTAGTTTAGCCATTGTTCCTTCTAAAATACTGTATAATTACGGTCAACTGCCTTCTATTGCGTAACTTTAATATTGTATAATTTGTTACTTATAGTGTCTTATCAGAAATTTACTGAAAACGTCATCAATTATTAATGCGGCACGATAAACTGAGCGGCATACAATGTCTGCTTGAATTTGCGAACGTTTTACGGATTTCTCATGGGCACCTTAGTTTCAGATTTGCAGCACTTCTTAAAATGGCCCTGAATGTACTGTTGTTTGTCACGACTGCCACACAATTGGCACGACCCAAGTGCAGTCTATTTTTTTTAATGTTTTCATTGCAACAAAATGCGAGCGCCCTGACTCAACATATCCAAAAGAGCCCAGTGCGGTATTTAAATATGAGTAATTCTTCAAGCCAATCTGTAACTTGTGAAATAAATGCATTTAAGATGCCAGAGAAGCCCCTTGCGATGACTTGGCGTATTTTAATTAAATAGATTTAGAAGAAAAAAATCCATTCTTTAGCCAGGAAAGTCTCGCTCTCAAAACTATTTTCCTGAGAGTCTCGCATGACTTGTTGTACCACTTTCTTGTTTGACTCTCTTTCCAATTTTCCTGGACTCCCATGCAAATGAGATGTTCCAGCTCACGGGATTTTCCAGGCGAAATTATGTACTAAGAATACAAATATACAATTATTTGACAGTTGTAAATTATTTTAATGTAACGATTTTATTCAGAGGCATTTGTGCGTGTGCATATTTAGGCAAAACATAAATTCAAGCGCAGTTAACCGTAGTCTACTCTTGAAGTTGTATAGTCATAAGGAAAACAGCCATTGATTACATTCAGGTGTTTTCAGAAAGTATACGGTACTCTAATTATGAATATTATCCAAATATGATCTAAATATTTATCACATCTTCACAAAGGGACTAAGGCCTATAGCTAAACTATGCTAAAACTAAGGACCGTAGTCTGTAAATATATATTTTTTTATTTTATTTTACTTATGAAGCACTGGTGATCGTTTTCAAATTAATACGTGGCTTGTCTTCGTAGTTATCCAATATTTAAATGTGTGTCACATCCTGAGTAGTTTAACTCATTTTACATTGCTATTATTATTTATGCCATCTCTATTATTTACATATATTTGTGCTCCGTTTATTTGCTTGTTTTTGCGCCACGCTGACATAAACGCATCTTCCATGGCCCACCTCCCATCTTCCCTTTTTTTTCCACCCATTTCCCCATGGTGCATCGCGATGCCGCCACCTCCGCCGCCGCCACTCCTCCCTCCACCCCTTCCCCCACGTTGCCCCCCCTCCTCCCGCCGCGCCGTTGCGTGCGTGCGTACGCGTACGTGCACGCGTGGGTGGACTCAGGGATGCCTCACCTGGTAGGTCGCATCATCGCGGCCAGCCCCGCCGACCGGTGCGGCCGATTGCGCGTGGGCGACCGTATCCTGTCGGTGAACGGGCAGCCCATCCAGGGCCTGTCGCACGCCGACATCATCAACCTCATCAAGGACTCAGGGACCAGCGTAACGCTCTGCATCTCGTCGCCGGACGGTAAATCCGCACGCGGCTGGCGAGCCGGGAGCTGCCAACGAGAGGAGTCGTGTAGTTAGTGCTCGCCGCTCTTTCAATTACGAAAATATTCCCCCCTCCTCCTCCTTCATGGGAAATTCAATTTTTCACCGCTCAACTCACGATTGGTCGAGCGTCAACCGGCGATAAATCTCGGCGGGGATTGAAACGGCCCCATTGGTTTTCTTTTTTATTGGGAGACAGCAGCGAATGACCTGTGAAGAGATTGGCAACAAACCGTGGCAACGTCGTGGACTTTCCACAACTGGCTCAGGGTTACTGACAGAGAGACGAGTGCCACTCCGAGGCCCTCTTGAGCGCGCGAACGAAATTGTTTCACGCGGTTGTTCTTTACCTTCCAAGCCTCACTGAGTGTCTACGACTTTCCCCTGCTTGCTGTACTGCCTTCCTGCTGGCATCACATTGCCAGGCATAATAGGTTGAATTCGCTTCAGGCAGCAATGAGGATGCATGCCACCTGCATGTTTACCCAGAAGTGTGTTTTCGTCTGCGCAAATGAAGGCCAGAAATGCAAAAACCAAGAGGCGCGCTGAAACTAAGTAGTTTCACAAGTGCCGGTAATCGCTTGCTCACTTTTAAATTACGAAGTTGCCTTGTGCATGCAGGTTGCATGCACCGTACTTCTCGTTAGACCTTAAAAGTAATTTTGAAATCCAACGACGCGGATGTTGGCTTTTCAATGCGTTTTAAACGCCGCGCCGTTTACGCCGCATCTAAATGCCTTTGCCGATGCTTGTTTGACGTGCACAGAATCGCAAAAGCTGCCGTCACTTGTGAACGCGGAGAAGATTGCCACCGTTGCGCCCAACAACCAAACGACTGCCCAAGAGGGAAGGTAATTGTGTTCTCTGTTTTGTCCCTCTATAGCTATTGGCCTACTCGTTATCATGCTCGTTTGTTTATAACGGACAACTGTTAGTTTTGTTGGTACAACCAGCGTACAACCGCCGTTACGCCGCGTCGATGCGGTCAGTTTATTGGACGTTTCGGCACACACCGACGGAGGGATGCGTCTGTGCGCTCAGGGTTTGGTGGCAACCTGCGTTGTAATTGGTGGCTTTCTGCTCGGAGTGTGATCATTGCGACATGGTTTACACTCGCTAATGGGCAATTCAATGAGGGGGGTACATTTACGGGGAGATGCAAAACCCACAACAATGCAATGCAATTTTGGATTTCGGGAGCGTCTTGATGCTGACCTCTGCACAGAAAAGAGGAACACAGGCCGTCTGGAAAAGGAGACCGATTATTTTTATTGCAGCAAAAGAGACGCGGGCACCTCCTATGAGCACGGTTTGGCTACGTGCAATGTGAAAGAAGTTCAGCACGCATGAATAGGCTTTTACCCTTTCTGGCAATACAAAGGTGGGTGTTTAGATGTTCAAACAGCAAATAGATACCTTTTGCAAAAATAAAGTCTGCATTAACCACACGTACTTGTGGTGAACATGCAAACAAAATGCTCTGATAATATGGCATTGTCTTTGCAACTGATTGGCCTGCATCTGAGACGGCCCTCGCTGTGACCTTGTCTCACCAGTGTCAGACCAGAGAACGCCAACAAGGTGAACAGGACACAGACAAGGCATGTTTTAGAGCGTTTATAGCTTGGAGTGAGCAGCTGTATCATGTGGTTAATGCAGACTTGATTCCTTGCAAAAAGGTCTCTATTTGGTGTTTGAACGTCTTAAAACGTGTTTTATTGCCAGAAAGGGTAAAAACCGCCTCTTCTTATTTTTCCTACTGGCAAAAAAGGCCCCATGATACGAAGCAGAACATTTTCCGCACAACTCAATTGTTTTCCACCGTTAGCCAAGGTAACAAAAGTCACAGTTGAAGCGTTCTCCTGCAGAGGCGGTAAAATACGAATGCCCCGAATTTCAACCGTTCCGTGTTCGTTTTTTTTTATTTTTGCTATAAAAAAGACGTAATGTTCTCGCGCGTGCGTTTACGGGCGCGGAAAAAAATAACGACACGAAATTGGATGAAATCCCATTGCCAATAGATTGTCTGCGTGGCCTTTCGTCGCAACAGCTAAACACCTGCAGACTGTCGCGCGGAGTGGCGCTACTTCATTAAATGTTTGCATTTTTTTTAAACGCACACTCCAAGCGTACCCTTCTTTGCTCCATCATTTTAAAGCGTAAAGTTTAATGAGCCAGCGGGGAGAATGAAAACCGCTGTTGCTTAATGCTCTTTTTATTTTTTTTACAATAGGTGTTCCAATGTAAACGGTTCTTTGCAAGGAGGGTCACAGCTCTCGAGAGCTTACGCTGATGACAAATATATCGCGCTGTGCACAGATACTCTCAGGCCAATTAATTAACGCAAAAAATCCTATCGGAGTGTCTGGAAATGTACTCCTGATTTCATGTATGCCACAAAAGTAAAAAAATGTGGTTATCTTCATGATTTTAGCTTCATAAACTATTGGGGCTGAGAGTAAAACCTCAGAGCTAGGCTGACGAATCCAGAATTTTGGGATAAGCCGGAAAAACAATCGACTAAATAAATTCTCTAAAACATCTCCCCCCGCTCCCTCTGTCCTCTTGCTTAAGTTCTTCCTACCCTCATCTTCCCCTCCCCACATGAAAATACAATGTACCCCGCTCACTGCCCTACATGTGTGGGGCAGTGACCCTAGTCGCCTCCCTCATCTAAACCCAGGAGACACAGAGTTCATGATAAAGGGTTTTTTGGGGGGGGGTTAGATCGCTTAAATATAAATGTGTCATTAAACCGGCCACCACCTGAAGGACAATTATTAAGGTTTGTCACGTAAAGAAAATGTGTGAGTTCGTTACTATTTCAGTCCTGAGTTCAAGACCTATTTCTGCACGCCCTCCCCGCATCACAGTTTGTGCTCTGTACTGGGCTCTTTTTCAAATGTAATAAACACATAAGAATAGGTTTAAGCCTTTCAGCAATAAAACAGGTGTTAAGAAACGCTGGTTGCCTTTTGGCGTCCAATGGTCTAACACTGTTTGAGACGAGGCTCTAAAGAAAGCTGTCCCTGGTGTGGCCCAATCAGTTTCAAAGACAATGCCATCTATTATGAGAGCATGCCTTTTGTTTGCATGTTGACCGCAAGTACGTGCGGTTAATGCAGACATGATTCCTTGCAAAAGGTTTCTGTTTAGTGTTTTAACATCTTAACTGCCAGTTTTATTGCCAGAAGGGTCAAACCTATTCTTATATTTTGATCCTGGCAAGAAAGATCTCATATAATAAACACGCGTTTTTTTGTACGTTTCTTTATAACAATTCAGCCAGAATACTATCCATGCGATAATTAAGCTGGGTGTGGTAGGAGATGACCTGCATGTGTGCACTAGCAATTACTAAAGCAATGTACACATACTGTGCTCAGTCTGCTGTGTAGTGCCGTAGATGGGCCACGCTTACGGCAGTGCTAGATCTACGATCCCACGCAACGCCACCCCTCGATGGGCAAAGGGGCATAAAAGGGGACCTCCCCAGCCGATCGGGACCAGTCGCAGCTCAAGACCCAAGATCAGCCAGCTTAGGACCCTGGACCTCCTCGCCCCGCTTGTCCTTATAAGGGCCGGGACGCTGTGCGGGCCAGTGGTGGGACTCTGGGACTCCCGGCTCTACGTCCTTGTGAGGGCGAGTTCCGAGGAAGCCAGAGTCTAGACCCGCACCTTGGCTGGGTCGGGTCAGGTAGCCTCCCCTAGGGTAATTGTAGCCGGAGGACCCGAGAGCGTAGCCAGTGTCAGGCATGCTAGGAATAGGCTGTGTCCCTAGGCTGTAACAGTGTATCAGGACTGTTGGAGTGGTGTATTGTAATGAAGAAGTTGCATCTACAAAGTGTCTCCGGAACCCATTACAGTTGTATAGAATGTGGTGAACCTGTGCGCATTGAACACGATGCTCACGCACCGTGCGCTCGGTCACTCGCTCAATCGCCCCATCTCAATTTTGAACGATATATTGAATAACAAAACTAAATAAAATCTTGAATCAGCCCTTTCGCATTTCATTCACGGTGATGGTAAGGGACTCGAATTCAAATTTCGGGTATTTTCTTTTTAAAGTGTACATATAAAATTGCCAATATTTCGTTTTGTAAGGCATTATAGGTAAATGTAAATAAACCTTTGTAATTGTGTATTAATTGTTTGGAGTTGGAGACTGCCTATTACACCATGGGGCCTTGATGAGAATTACATATTAAAAAAAAATTTTTCTGATGAGCAATTTTTCTATTGGAAAATGAATAGTTACCTAACGGCTAAGCTATTGAGTCACAGACACAAACCTTTTAATATTCAGAGTGGCAACTGGAAAAGATCTGCCCTGCATTTGGAACGACTTTGAGAGGTTTCACTGTATGTCGGTATTATGGGTGTCATTGTAATCACGCTGTGCTTATGGAATTATGACATGTGAATACTAAAATGCTTGGAGTTGAGATATTGAGGACATTGTAAAAATATGGAAAGGCTAATCAAGAAAAACCTTGCGAAATGTCTCGTGTGTGCGCTATAATTGGTTTGGTATGCTAGTCGTAATGTTTTTAGCTTTCTGATGTAATGTTTTTTTACTTAATGTTTTTGTATTAAAATCTTTTTATTTCACCCTCCCGAAGTTTGTTTGACAGATTTGAAGTTCGGGGAAGGCAGGACATCAAGCCCGACATGAACCCTGGACAGGTCTGGTTTGAATTACGTGACTTGGAATTCGTTTTAATTAGTTTTTTGACGACATGCTGAACTCACCGCAGCTTCGTTGTTCGGCCTCCAATGGGTACCAGGTGCGGCGTGTAGTAAACATCGCCACTCGGGAGACAAAGACGGCCGGGCGTGGTGCTGGCCACCCACACTCCTTGGTTGCCATGTTGCCCATCATGGGTGCTCGCTAGACAGCACTTGCCAAACCTCAATACATTTTTTTTTTTTTGCTGTGACGGTTTCACCTGAAGACGGAAGCTTGTGTTGCCTCCGAAACGTCGTGATTTTTATTGTTTTATTTTTATTAATTTTAATTTCATTTTTTTTTACCTACGTGACATTACCGAAAGAACTAAGAGTATACCTCAATATCTTCTTGGTTTTCTTGGTTCTTTCGGTAATGTCATTTTTATTTGTATTATTTTATTACTTCCTTTCTACGTGACTTTACCGAAAGAACCAAGAAGATGAATCCCTGCAGTCACGAAAGCTTTAAATGGAAATTTAATCCTCAATATGATAAGGCTGCACTTTGGCTATATATGTCTCCATTTCAACTGAGTGATATTCTACTCATTACAACATCCTAAAACTTAAAAATCACACGTCCATTTTACTTTGAGTTGCGGTTTTAAACGCATGCTTTCGTGTTTTTTTTTTTCAAATTACATGTTTATATTAGATTGCACAACATTCAGGGTTTAACTTTTTTCGTGAAACGATCGTATCGGAGTGAATGTATATCCATTAAGTGTTAAAATCTTTTTCGATATGTTGGCATCAAATGAGAAAAAAAAACGCTCGCTAACAATTCAATTTCTACAAATAAGTGAAGTGCAAAAAATTAATTATCTGCCTGAGATGAGAACATACTTTTATTTGGCATTTAATATGTTATATAACACTACAAATATACCTATATATATCTCACTCAGAGAATCTTGTATAGCGCAATGGGGAACTAATCGTATATCATCATGTCCATATTTTCCAATAACTGGAAATGTTTCACCACACCAGGGAAATTGGTCTGATGTTAGGATGAGAGACCAGGTAAAGATTTTAGTTTAGCTGTCATCACAACGTGATGCCCTGGCCAGCTAATATCAAACACCGTCCTCAAGTGGCGTAATTGCAAGAGAGCTGACCTTCACGATCAGCAGGGTACCAGTTCAAATCCCAGTCAGTGGGTTGACGCGGCTCATGTTTCCTCTGGAATTGATCAAGTGAGCTCCTCTCCCCTTTGTGTGAGGCCAACATTTGTTCACACATGGAGAGACTGCCGGCCAACCGGGGCGGCCGCGGTCGTGGCGGTTGTGCACGTGGCTGCCTATAATCCAGCACCGTGGAGGCAGCAGCGAGGGTTGGTTGGTTCACCGCACGCAAATGTGCGAACCGCCCTTCCCGTCGGCGTCGAGAAGGAAGCCGCAGTAGCCTGGCTCACCAGGAGAAGGCGGTACAGGGAATGTGTACCGCACCTGTTCCATCCGTGTAGGATAGAGAACTTACCCACTCGCGTGCATGGGTGTTCTCTGAATACTCCGGCTTCCTCCCACTCATGATAAACACTCATTCATTGGCCGAGAACACCTTCATATGTAGAGGACCACAGAGCTTGGGGGGTGGAGGCGGGGGGAGTTTTGGCACTGGCTCTCTGCCTGTGGCTGCCTTTCCCGCTCGTCTGGTTCCTTGGACATAGGAGTCGTTTGGTCACTCTCTTTTAGAGTTTGCTCACCCCCTTCGAGTGTAAAACCAACCCTTGCTCACGCTTTTCGAGAGTGAGCAAACGGTGTGCGGCGCACTACAAGTCGACAGTATTATCTTTTATCCAGAAAGGGTAAGACCTATGCTTGTTATTTCATACTTTGATACTGGCAAAAAAAAGGTCCCATTTCGATATCGTCTCTCGTCATAAATTATCGAGACGACGTGGAATTTCGCCGGCAACCCTCTCTCCGTGGCGCCGACCACGACAGACGCGACGACTCGACTTGACGCCAACGCACGCGCGCTGCTGAAGCGCCATGTTTTCACGCAGCATCGCGCTCGTGCCGTCGCTCGGCGCCGAATCGATCGTGGCGTGCATTGCGTGCTGGCTCGCTCGCTCGGAAAAGTGACTGCAGAGTGATAAAACTCCCGAACGTGCGTCCTGTGTCCCGTGCGCCGGTGTGCAGGAAGCAGAGTACTACTCTGTAGACCTGGAAAAGGGCCTCAAGGGATTCGGGTTCAGCCTGCGTGGTGGCCACGAGTACAACATGGATCTCTTTATCCTGAGGTTGGCCGAGGACGGCCCAGCCATACGCACCGGCAAGCTGAGGGTAAGGTCACGTAAATCGGGAGTACATTATTGCCGCCTTCGTGATGGTGCCCCGTGTTGTTTCGGAATGGCATGCGACGTTCTGAATTCAATTCAATAACCGAGTTGAGTGTTCTCCAAGCGCGTGGGAGCGAAACGCCGGACGTCGTGCCAAACAACGTGCTTGCGTAGCTCTTCCTTAACCGATGTCAAGAAGCCACTGGAGCTTACCCACCTTTAAATCTAAAAAAAAAAATCTTGATAAACGCTTATTGACGTGTCGGGTCAACGCAGGTCGGCGACCAGATCATCGAGATCGACGGGGAGAGCACCAAGGACATGACGCACGCCCGCGCCATCGAGCTCATCAAGAACAGCAGCGGCCGCGTGCATCTCTTTCTCAAGCGGGGCACGGGCCTCGTGCCCGACTACGGTGGGGGTACGTTCCGTTGTTCTCTCAAACTTTGTTCCACTGCCATCCCCCCGCCCCCCTCCCACCCCCCCAACCTCCCACACCCCGCACCAAACCGCATCATGGCGGCCATTGCCTGAACGTCCACGTTTCTTTGTTGTGCTGTGTCCCCTCGTTAAGCCGCGTTGGCAAGATGTCATCTCCCTCGCCTGGTATGCAGGAGGTCGTGGGTTCGATCCTGACCCATTGCCTGCGCGTCACGTTTCCTGTACGGAACGTTCCCTCATGTCCCCCTTGTTAACAACAAACTATAAACTTGATGCAGCTAATCTGGCTGTGACGGTCCCACCTGATGACAGAGACTTGTGTTGCCTCCGAAACGTCGTGATTTTTATTGTTTAATTTTAATTTCATTTTTTACCTATGTGACTTTACCGAAAGAACTAAGAGTATATATGTGGAGATCTCACCTCCGATGAGCATGATTGGCTCCGTACGGCGCTAAAGAAGTTCAACATACACCAGGTTGTGTGGATTGTGGGGAAAACAACGTGGATCAGCGCATACCTCGAACCGGATGCCGACCGAATTCCTACAAATGAGCACTCGTTCTTTTTACATTATGAGTATTTACTAGTGAACTGAGCTGACCTCTCGAACCGTTATTCAAATTCACAAGCATCCAACAGCAAGTTACGACCCCAGCCAGGAATTAAATTCTCTACCAGTAAATAGTCCTGGGAATAATGCCGGGAGGTGGCCGAATAATTACCAAGATTGGTGCGCATGTCAGAGCACAGAGCCGGCACCACAGGGAGCCAATGCCCTCGCCTACGAGCGTGGGGCTTGCGTGTACGCACGCTCAACTTGTTTCTACACCGTACGTAGCCAACCGTGGTCATCTGAGGTGCAACGAACTAGCCCAGGGTTAATTCTAGATTTGAAGTTTTCGTGACTGCAAGGATCCATCATACTCTTTGGTTCTTTCGGTAAAGTTACGTAGGTGAAAAAAAAAAACTTTTTTTTTTCTACTACTCTTTGGCTCTTTCGGTAAAGTCACGTAGGTGAAAAAAAAGACATTTGAAAAAAAAAATTTCACAAAAATACTTTTTTTTTTTCACCTACGTGACTTTACCGAAAGAACCAAAGAGTAGTGTTCTTCACTAATTTTCAGGGGGGGCGGGGGGGGGTACTTTCGCCGACAAGACAACATCAGTGTGAGGGCCCGCCACCGATCTGAGACCATTGGGGGTTTGGCAGCACGATGATGATAATGATGGGGGATGTTTTCACATTTGTGTATTGTCGGAGGCCGCACCTCAGGGGCCACACATGGGCCGCCAGTGGTACGCGGGCCTTGCAATGACGAGCGCTGAACTTAACAAAGGGCTTGCATCTTCTTGGTTCTTTCGGTAAAGTCACGTAGAAGGAAAATAATAAAATAATAAAAATAAAACATAATAAAATAATTCTCACGACGTTTCGGGCACAACGCAAGCAGCCGTCTTCAGGTGAAGAACAGGTCTGTCGAAGGCAGACTCTGCCTTCTGAAGACGGCTGCTTGCGTTGTGGCCGAAACGTTGTGAGAATTATTTTATTATGTTTTATTTTTATTATTTTATTATTTTCCTTCTACGTGACTTTACCGAAAGAACCAAGAAGAGGAATCCCTGCAGTCACAAAAGCTTTAAATCGAAACTTAAAGGGCTTGCACTTGCATGAACAAGTGTGATTACCTTAGCCCAGTCACCAACTTGGGGTTATTGTTAATTCACTTGAGAGGGGTGCTGATGTGTGGTGGACAGCAAGGGGTTATGGAGAAATGAGAAGCAGTTATTTAAAGCGTTTCACTGCCATTCCCCAATGCAATACACGGAATTGTCAGTGCGTAGTGGCAACTGCTGTGCACTCATACATCACTGCTTGCCTTCATATGTTAGTGGTGCAATGTAATATGTGACTGATGAAAAAATGTAAAATATATATTGAACAAGTTTTGTCATATCACAGATTATAACTGATCACCCCTTGTATGAGAAATGCATGGCCTTGCCTCTTCATACATATCTTGGTTTCATTTCACCTTCAAACTCCTTTCCGCGTTCACTGCTGCTATATAATAACATCTTTATAAATACATCTACTGCCATTTCCCCAAATGTCTCTCCAATGCAGGAGACAGGAGGAGAGTTGACATAGACTCCGAGTGCCTGCAGTAGCCATCATCATTGCTCTCTACTCATCGCTTCGGTTTGAAAATAAGATCAATTCCGTTGTTTACATGTCGCATAATTAAACACCTTACTGCTGAAGCTCATTTTACTCGAGCCGGTTGACTGTTGATGCAATGCTAAAGATGCATTGGGGGGTAGTGGTGGCGGTGTAACGGTTAGCGTTGCTGCATGACGAACCCGGTGTATGTATGTCTGTTCAACTTCTTTCGCACCGTACGAAGCCAACCTTGACCTAGAGTACACGGCTGACATCAGTGGCGAGTATTCCTGGACCCCCTCCACCCCCCTCGCCAAAGCATGCTGAAGTATGATCAAACAACCCCCGTGGAGAGGCTTTCATTCGGCAGTGGACTGCCAAAGAGGCTGTAAATAAAGATGGGATCGACACGCGCAACAATACGCCTCCGTCTTCTTGGTTCTTTCGGTAAAGTCACGTAGAAGGGAAGTAATAAAATAATAAAATTAAAATAAAATTAAAACATAATTTTATTATGTTTTATTTTTATTATATTATTACTAAAATTAAAATAAAATTAAAACATAATTTTATTATGTTTTATTTTTATTATTGTATTACTTCCCTTCTACGTGACTTTACCGAAAGAACCAAGAAGATGAATCCCTGCAGTCACGAAAGCTTTGAATCGAAATTTAATACGCCTCTGGTTCATTGGAATGCATCTTAGACGTCCACCTCCGAGCGTCCGAGTTAAATTCCCAGCCATGGTTGACTCAGCCAGACCCCCCACCGTCATCTCTCTGTGGTTGGTGAACTGATCACCGCCTAGAATTTAAATATTTGCCATAGAAATTTGAACATTACAGTGTATTCGCAACTACCTTGAATCTGTCAAGAGAGCACACGATACTTTTTTTTTTTAAAGCCATCCGATTTTCAATTTTTATGCGAATTTTTTTTGGAAATGCCACTTTTTTTTTCAAAAAAGAAATATATATAACGATCATTGTAAACAAAAATGGTTCGTAAAGACTGTGGTCCACCGTAGTATTGACAATAATCGTTAAACGTAATGTTTATATTTTTTTACGGAAGCCACGAAAATACCACATGATTGCGTAACATCTCTGGGCTGAAACTTTAGCGCAGCAGGTGCAAATTGAATATTCTGTCTCCGCACCTGGTCTGGTCTTGGCTCGCAAAACAATGCCCGTTGCGTGGTTCGGGCTTGTTGTCATTTTATCCCGCAGAAAGTGTTTTACTTTATTTTTATCGATGACTCGCCACCGACATCTGGTTTATGGCCAGCGAATCAAAACAATGAAGCAATCTCTGGGGTACCGCAGGGCCTTAAGAAGATAACAGTGGGGTACAACAGGCCAGTTCATTTCTTTTGTTAGACAGCGTGTGACAATTTTTATAATGGTGTTCCAAAAGTCTCTTGTCGCGTGTCGTGTTCTTGTGTTGAAGTGGTTTTTTTTCATGCATTTATATTCATTTATCCAGGGTGTATTTATAATAATATTGTGCAGTAGTGAAGGAGTGAAATGCACAGTGGTGGTGGTGATAGGTGGTGGTGGTGTTTATATTACTCGGAACATAGCAGCTGTATAAAACCTATTGGGTTTTTTTCATGCATTATTAATTTAGTCATTGTATTTATAATAATTTTGTGCAATATTGAAGGAGTCAAATGCACGGTGGAAGTGGTGTTATTTTACTCTGAACATAGCAGCTGTGTAAATCGATAAAAATGTTTGTTCTTTCGGTAAAGTCACGTGACTTTACCGAAAGAAGCAACGAGTGTGGATTCCTGCAGTCACGAAAGCTTCAAATCAAGATTTAATGTTTGTTCTGTTGCGGCGAACGTGACGATACACGCTCGTGCCTGCAGGGGTCACGTGAACCTGTTACGTGCAACACATGCACATGTTCTTGGTTCTTTCGGTAAAGTCACGTAGAATGGAAATAATAAAATAATAAAAATACAAATTCTAACATTTTATTATTTCCATTCTACGTGACTTTATCAAAAGAACCAAGAAGATGAATCCCTGCAGTCACGAAAGCTTTAAATCGAAACATGCACATGTATTAATATAACTTGCTGCAGTTTATTTTCATAGTTCACTAAGCATTATTTAGCTTTTTTTTATTAACGAAAGATTTGGAAAAAAATGATACGGGGACTCATCTACTTACGAACTTTCAGAGATATGAACAAACCTGTCCGTCCGTATGTCGAGTTGCAGCTGTTCACGATGCTATTGCCTGTTAAAAGTTGATTTACGAAGAGAAGAAGAGAGAAACTGTGCAGACATCTCTTGGTAAGTTTTTCAAAAGAGTAGAGAGGAAACATGACCACCAAAGGGAACTAGCATCTACATCTGAATAACGAGTGACATCTCCATCGACAGAATATGAAGAACCAGTGGTATCTACATCTACAGAACATGAAGAATCAGTGGCATCTACAGAACATGAAGAACCAATGGCATCTACATCTGCAGAACATGAAGAATCAGTGGCATCTACAGAACATAAATAACCAGTGGCATCTACAGAACAGGAATAACCAGTGACATCTCCATCGACAGAATATGAAGAACCAGTGGCATCTACATCTACAGAACATGAAGAACCAGCGGCATCTACATCTGCAGAACATGAAGAACCAGTGGCATCTACATCTGCAGAACATGAAGAACCAGTGGCATCTACAACTACAGGAGATTATACAACTTTAAAGCCATTGCCCGTGTTTAATGCACATGCCATACAACATGTTTGGAATTGACAGGAGTAAAGTTGGACTTACGAACAGACCTCTGGAA